CCCAGCCCGCAGCTGGGCAGGAGCTTTGTCCCCCAGCCCTTTAAGGATGGCGCCTCCCCGGGGCTGTTGGGGAAGGGGGCACTCTGAGCCGTGCGGTCGCTCATCCAGCCACCCAACACATGCTTATTAAGCACCTACTAGGTTCAGGATAGCAAAAGGGGGGGATGATCAAGTGAACAAATACACCCTCCCAAGTTAGAGACCTGGAGCAGACACGTCTGAGGAATCTATGTGGTGTTGGGATGGGACTTTTAGTCAGGGCCTGCCCCTAACAGTGCTGCTTTGGAGTGATGATGGTGGTGGTGGTGGTGGGCACCAGAGAAGGGGGCAAGGAAGTGAGAAAAGCGAGGAAGCAGGGGTTTCTTCTATTACCTCTGTCATTTAACCCCCCCTTTGGGCTTTCAGCATGTACCAAAAAATGAATCGAGGGCTCATTATTTCAACATTACTTATTACTGGCAGGAATACATTTCCTTTAAGGGTCTAGGCCAGCTTTGTGCAACAGAACATTCTGTGATGTGCTTTATACTATCTGTACTGTCCGATGCAGTAGTCACTAGCCACACGTGGCTGTTATTGAGTGCTTGAAATCTGGCCAGTGAATCGGAGGAACTGAGTTTTACATGTTATTTCATTTAAGTTAAATAGCTGCATGTGGTTAGTGGCTGCGTTATGGCAGTGATGGTCAAGGCTCTTTACTTCCCATCTATTACACCAAAGGCCCTTTAGGTCAAGAACCTATTAATACTCAGCTCTCACCTTTACCATAAAACCCTCAATCTAGTTACCCTCTGTCCTGCCTCCTATAGTTATGCTGAATCATCTCTTGGAGAATTTGTATGTCCATTCAATAAAACAAACCTTTGTTGAACACCTTTTTAAAAATACATAGTTTTATTGATTTCAGAGAGGAAGGGAGATAGAAACATCATTGATGAGAATCACTGATCGGCTGCCTCCTGCACGCCCCTTACCTGGGAACCCGGGCATGTGCCCTTGACCTGAATGGAACCTGGGACCTTCAGTCTGCAGGCCGATGCTCTATCCACTGAGCCAAACCGGCTAGGGCAGGCACCTTTTGTGTGTAAGCAGTGGGGATTCGAAGATACCCAAGTAGTCTTGCCCTAAGTCTGATCATCCAGCAGTCGTTTTAGCCAATGTTTGGGGGAAGGACCCTATATTTTTGTTAACATGACCTCTTGCCTCTGTGTACCGACTTTGCCCAGGGCGGGGATCCAGAAGCTTGGGTGGGAAAAGCCCAAGAGTTGAAGCAAGAAGCCCTGGACTGGACTCAGGGATGGCTTCCAGCACTTGCTTGGTGATTCAGTCGCTCAACCTATATTTACTGAGGATCACATCTGTATTCTAGGCAGCTGGATGGCAGAGGGCCAAGGAAGGAACAAAAATTAGACTGACTTGAGATTTCTTAACAGCAACACTGGACTTAAGATTGTTGAATAGTATTTAAAACTGAGTTTTGATTTCTAGTTAAATTGTCAGGTATTCAAAGGATGAGAAGGTTTATCATAGGGGTCCTCAAACCCAGGGGCCACATGCAAATACAAATATTATATTTGTTCCCGTTTTGTTTTTTTACTTCAAAATAAGGTATGTGCAGTGTGCATAGGAATTTGTTCATAGTTTTTTTTTAAACTATAGTCCGGCCCTCCAACGGTCTGAGGGACAGTGAACTGGCCCTCTGTTTAAAAAGTTTGAGGACCCCTGGTTAACACATAGAGTCCCTCTTTGAAAACACTGTTAGAGAAAGCTCTCCAACATGAAGAGAAATCAGTAGTATACTAGTAGGTGTGCTCAACAACAGTGAGTAGAAGCATTAAATCACTTTTTGTTTTTGTTTTTTAAAATAAACTTTTATTGATTTCAGAGAGTAAGGGAGAGGAAGAGAAAGATAGACACATCAATGACGGGAGAGAATCATTGATTGGCTGCTTCCTGCTCGCCCCCTACTGGGGATTGAGCCCACAACCCATGCATGTGCCTTGCCGGGAATCAAACCGTGTTTCATACACCCACGCTAAACCACTGAGCCATGCCGGCTGGGCAAATCACTTGTTTAAGTGATGCTTGCCTAAGGAAATGGTGCAGGGCAGTGCCAGCAAAGTACAGCCTGACTGGGCATAAGTGGAGAGGGTGGCAGAGCCATGGGAGTTCCACCAAACGAAAGGAAAGGGAATTGACCCCATAGAAGTCAGCTCTTTGAGGAAAGGAAGACAGCAGCTAACTAGGGAAGAACTTCCAGAGGTGCTGTTATTTTTGTACTTTCTTGCAAGGCTTGTCTAAAACCCACATGCTCTGTCTCTCTTCTCTGGCCCTAAATTTCCAGGTTAACAATTCCAACTTTTCCAGTGATGGGATAGAGGATGGATCAGAGAGGGGGTGGGTGTTAAACAAAGGTCAGAGTCCAGGGCCAGTGAAGTTTATATTTACCCTCATTATTTACATGGTGATGGTTCAGGTATTAATTAACAGGAAACTACAAAGACCTTAAAAAAAGGCTGTATGCCAAGAATATTTTTTCCTCCTCTCTGTCCCTGACCTAGAAAATATCATAATACAAATAGGCCTTTCTGATTTCTCTGGTTTTCAACAGAGTTATAAAGTGAAACTAGGACTTTTGAAACAATTTGCTTCTTTTGAAACAATTCACTTAAGCAGAACTTGGTAGGAAAAGTACTGATTTGGAAAACAAGGAATAACCTTCGTTAGGTCAGTGGTTCTCAACCGTCTGGCCCTTTAAATACAGTTCCTCATGTTGTGACCCAACCAAGTAGCATTTTTCGTTGCTACTTCATAACTGTAATGTTGCTACTGTTGTGAATCGTAATGTAAATATCTGATATTCAGGATGGTCTTAGGCGATCCTAGTGAAAGGGTCGTTCGACCGCCAAAGGGGTCGCGACCCACAGGTTGAGAACCACTGGTCTAGTGGCTGGTACCTTCTCCTTTCTCCTCTTTCCTCCCTTTCTTTCATCCTATTCACATTCCCTTCTTCCTTCGCCGTCCCCTTACCTCCTCCCTCTCTCTTCCCCCTTCTTTCCCTTCTCTTCCTTCCCTGTCCCTACCTTTGACCTTTTCTTTTTTCATCACTCTTTCTTTTCTTCTTTCCTAACTTTCTTTTCTCCCTCCACACTCCCTCTCCTCCCCTAAGACAATTGTTCTGGGAGCTACAAAAAAATGTGGGATTTGGGGAGATTTTATGGGCTTCCTGGGGAGCCAGATAATGGGAGGAAGATCTTAAATGCAAGGGAGACCCTGCAGGGGAAGGAAATTGAGGGAGCCCCCAGGGAGCACCCCAGCCACCCTCTGTGCTTATGCTCACCCAGGCTGTACTTTGCTGGCACCCCACAGAGGAATGAGGTTGGGCTGGGGTGAAGTATGGCAGGAAGTTTGGGACTGGCTCTGACAAGGGGCCATGTCCTGGCTGCTGGATGACCAAACAGGGCCCCACTGTGCTATGAGTTCAGTTCCTCGCGATGGAGGCAGAAAAATTTCCCATTCTTCCTTTCTAGGTTCTTTGGCTGTTCTAATAATAAAAAGGACGTAAGATAAATTAACAGGAGAAAAACTAATTTAATTGTATATATACAGGAGCCCCACAAAGAGGTGAGACTCAAAGGCAATTGAGGCATGTAAGCCATCCTCAGCTGAGGACAGGGGTAGGGGCCTGGGCTTCATGGGGAAGGAGGGCCATTCACAGGAAGATTAGCGGAATGGATGTTTGGCAATCAGCTATTTTCCCTGCTAAGCAGATTTTTTCAGATACAAAATATGTTATCTCTGATAATAGCTCTCTTACTGGTACAGGCCCACTGTCTACATTCTTTCAGGCAGTTAGGGGGAAGTAAAAAGGTTTTCCTGAGTCCACTGTGTCTTGATGGCTTTGGGCTGAAAATCATCCACATGCCAAAGAGACCCATTTTGGGGTGGGACAGTCTGCTCCCCTTCCCTGTCTCCCGGCAGGTTCCCTTCAGGGCACTGGGACTTCAGCTGTTCTTGGGTAATCTTTTTGTGTTTTAATTGTTTTTAGATCAAAATAATCCTTATGCCAAAGTGGCTGATTTTGGAGTGGCATTTTCTCTTACAATCACAAGGAGAGTCAGTCTCAGTCTGACACTGACTTTATGGAAGGCAGAGTGGGGAGAAAGAAAGAAATGAGATCTTTGGAGTAAGCCCATCCTAAAGCCTATTCTAGCTGTAGACTTCACAGGCCATGGGCCATTGTTTCCCATATTGTCCAAGCCATATGGAACTCTTCCCTGGAAATGAGTCTGCCTAATATCACAGCTAATATCATAGTACAATGAGTCAGCCCTATGGTGAGCCCACTGTCTCTTTGATTGTGAAACAGATGATGGGACATCATGCAGCTATTAAAAATGAGATATTGCATGGAAAGATTTCATTGAGAAGTGAAAAGTGCAAGTATCAATTATATGTTATGAAACCCTATGTAATCAAGGGAGGGAAAATGTCCATTTTAACCAAGTAATCTTGGGGGTGTAAAAGGTAGTGAGAGGAGAGAAGGAATCCTGTCATTTTCAGTGATCTCAGCTTGAATCTTATCTGGCGCCTGAGGGAGGAGGGAGGAGAGGGTACCCCTCCTCCAGGGAGGGCCTCTGGGGAAGGAGGAAACCTGGCTAGAAGTGGAGCCAGAAGCAAGGCAGAAGGGACCTACTCTTTGAAATGCCAGGTTGGGGCTAGGGGAGGAGTGGGAAGGGGTGTGTGTGGGCATAGACAGAAATACAAGGCTTAAAATGCCCAGTGCTTATGGACACAAGTCATCCCGATGGGAGTCTGTTTTTCTGGAGAGGGACCGAGACTAGAATCTCCTGGTCCCGACGGGTGAAGGGCACAGGCAGACCCAGGGCCTCCGGGAGGGGAGAGTTGGCTCATGTAGAGACTTGCGCAGGTCACTGGATTGAGTGTCTGATGGGTAACAGCCCTGTCTTATTGAGTGCTCAGTCATCCAGGACTGATGTAAGCACCAGCGCAGGGCAGCACTGAAGAAGACTGAAGGAAGCGAGGCCGAGGTGGGGGTGGGGCACAGGCAGCAAAATGGGGGTCTCACACAGGCAGAGTCCCAATGGTGTGAGGCCCTAGAAACTGTGTTCCCACCTTGCAGTCATCAAGCCTGACTTCACAGCCTGAAGATCTGCTTTCTGGCCAGTTCAGTTTCTCCTTTAAATGTAAATATTATCTTTAAGGAGCCTCTAGCCAGGGAAGTCTTGATCTGCTTAACTGCTTTCAGTGGGAATACGGAAGTTGAAAGCGTTTGAAAAGAATCCAGTCTGAGGAATTTGCATTTTCAGAAAGCTTTCAGTAGAGGGCCAAGCGATGGAGCCTGTGAATGAAGTCTTTCTGTGTTCCCTGCTCCATGTGAACAGTACAGGAGAAGTAAGAGAAAGGAGGCACATTGCATTCCCAGGCAGCTGCGGGTGGTGGGGTGGGGGAAGGCCCGTTTGCCAAGAGCCAGGGAGGATTCTGGGATGTGTGTGTGGAGTCTCCCCTGCAGGTTTCCTGGGAGCTGGTTAGCATGAGATAAACATGCGTCCTGATTCCCAATACCAAGGGCCACTTTCGAGCTCTGCAGCCTCCTCTTGCCCCAAGGAGTGGTCTTGTGGGAAGGGGCAGGGCAGCTATGGGAGAGGAAGAAATTTCCCTCTACTCTTCCAGGTTCTTCTGGCTGGTCTAATAATCAAATAGACGTGAAACAGATTAACAAGAGACAATGACTGCTTTTCATTACGTATGTACAGATGGAAACCCCACATACATGAGAATCACAGACATGGGAGGTTCAGAGACGGAAAGGGAAAATGGAGTAGATATGACATTCTAGTTAGGGGTGAGGTAAGACACCTGGGGCTTCAGAGGGGAGGGAGGTCATTCAAAGGACAATAAGAGGAGCAGATGTTCAGTAATTAGAAGTTTGCCTTGTCTTATGAGAAAGGTTATAGAAAGTTATCTCTGGTAATAAATGTTATTATGGACAAGGCCCCACATTTAAATTCTTGAAGGGAGAGGGAAATGTTTCTCCTGAGCCCGCAGGGTCTCAGTTGCCTTCAGCTCAAAAGAATTGACATGCCAATGTGACACATCTTGGGGAGCATGTTCTGAATCCCTTTGTAGCCCAGTGGGCAGTGTTGGGGGGGCCGGGAGGGCAGGCGGAGTCTGGCTGTTTGGTGTTTGTATGGGATTTAGTCCCACACGTAGATGGGCTTCCTTTTCCATATCTTCATACTTGAGTGAGGACCTGTGGTGGCTACAGCACAATTTTTTTCTGCAGGTTCTGTGTGTGCACCTGAGACCAAAGAGCTGAGGGTGCTTCGTGAGGTGATTGAATCCCCGCCAGCACTGAGGCCCACTTGGAGCTTAAAGTTCATGGTTTGAAAGTGATTCTGGTGTCATATGTGGCTGTGCTTCCCCAAGTTCAGCTGCCGAGACAGAAAACTGGATTTAACCAGGGTGTGGTTTTGCCAAATAAGATGCAGGGAGATGGACAAGAAAGTTGAAGTTTTTTACGCCAAATCAATTCCTAATCCCATCAGAACCAAACGATTTTCCTTTTGCTGTTCCTATAGGCAAAGCAATGCTCCCAAAGATGTATGAAATATTAATCACCAAAGGTGCACAATGGACCCCAAATGACCCTCCCTCCCACTTCTCCTCAGTTCTGTCCAGCTCCAGGGGTTCACCCAGGGGCCTCCTGGGAGCCTAGGGCTCTTTGAGCAATTATAGCCTCGGGAATCTCACATGCACACCACCTCCTTGAAGATGCCTTATCACTGCATTGAAGGCACCTTCTACCACACCCACAGAATAGAGCACCATAAGATAAAACTAAACTAAACCCCAGTGCCATTATCCAGTCCAGATACCAATGTTGAGGGTATAAACAGAACATGGTGCAAGTAGTTTACTCTTGAGCACTGGAGTTGGGCAGGCAAAAGCACTGGGACAGAAAAAGTGGAGGGGTGAAGAAGAGAAAGGTATAAAAGAGACTACAATATAGAGATTCAGCTTCTTTGTGGAGACAGTCAACTGATCAACCCAGACCCTTCACCCTAGTGCAGTGGAAGTGGGCTTCCCCACTCACCTATTGTATGCACTCCTTAACTGGGATCAATCACCCAGACCCTAACCAACCTCTTTAGCTCTCAACCTCCTGGAGGAGTTGAGACTCCCTTCCCTCAGCCCTGTAGCTGGGGCCAATTGGCTCTCTTCCTTGGATACGTTTCTTCTTGGCAGCTTTGGGGCTACACTCCTAGCTAGGAGCTGCCTCAAGGCTTCTCAGTCCCAATCCTTTTGCCAGTTTAGGGCTTGATTCATCCTGGTTTTGGCTAAGAATACATCTTGGGAAGCTGACAAGGGTACATTGCCAGTTCAAATTCTTACTCCAAGTCTTCGTGACTGGCTGTGTGAGGTGTCACAATATATATTATTATCTACATATTATTAATGTATATGCTGTCCCTGCATATACAGAGGAGTTGCTGCCTGGGAACAGAGGGTCCTATTGAGTCTCCTGGTGAAGCCAAAACTTACAATAGCAGCATGAAGAGCCGTTCTAACTCCTGTGGTTACCAGTGACTAGAGGCCTGGGTTACTGCCCTGTCCAACATGGCACTGTGTCTGGGACCCAGGTAGGAGGCAGAAGAGGCTGCATTTGGTGTATCACCTGAGCTCTATGGTTGGATTTATTAGTTCAGTTTCCTGGATCCTGGTTACTGCAGCCCATCAGGCTCCATGGCCAGTGGGAGAGTTCTGTCCTCTGGAGGTGGGTGTGGAAAGAATGGAGACCACAGAGTATCAGAAAAGCTCAGGACCTTCAGCTGGTCCTAGGCTCCTGGCACCAATGAGCTGGGTGGACAAGATGGGCACCTGCAGGAGGATGGGGCATCTCGACTTGGCTTAGCCTTTCACCTCTTGTACCCTTACCCTGTGTACCTCTCCTACCCTTAGATGGGCCAGTGAGACAGACCTGATAGTCTGGAGGCCATGTTCAGAGCCAAGGTCTGAGTCCAGCCTAGTGAAGATGCCCAGGCTACCCCCAAACTCACAGCCATGGCAGCCTTAGTTATGGCACTGTGTTCAGACATATACTTGGTTATGCTTCTTTCTACTTTAAACTTCCCTCATGACAAGTACAATACAAGGGTAGTGTAAGGGAGTATCCACAGATGAGTCCTAATAGTGGTGATTGCCAATGAGAATGCTATGGGCAATTTTGGAATAAATCGGTGGCATGGGATCCGTTCTGGGCATTGCATACTTGGCATTCATCACTAACAGCCCATAGTATCCCCCAGTCACTATGATAACCAGCACTGCCTATACCTTCCTCTTGGGGTGGGAGGGTAGTACTGCCCAGGTCACCACTGCTCTGAGGAATTCAACCACTAGGAGTCCATGGCTCCAGGCTACTGTGAATCCTTGGCTTGGTTACTCAGGCATTCCCTCTGGTGGGGTGAGGGAGTCGGGGGA